TTGGTTAAAACTTGCAGTTTTCCACTGTTAAACAAATATTGATATCTGATGAATCTAATAGATTACATAAACATTGTAATTGATTAATTCATATAGATATGCAATGTGCAAAGAGTTTTATCTCAATGAATATGCATGTCACATATATAAACACATGTATAAGCAAAGTGCATATGCATAACATATAGTTCAAGCACACTTACAAATATAAACAACAATTTTGCTATATGTGCAAGAAACTATAAAAATACTTATGTTGTTGTCATCATCAAAAAACATATATGGGATATATGGGTTTAGCTTTCACATAGCTCCACCTATCAACAGACCCCTTTATTGGATGCAGCTCAGTTGGAGTGAATCGGTATAAAAATATTTGTACACTTACTATTTTATTCTCTCTCAATGCTTTTCTTATAAAAACCTACAGTTGCATTTTCGTTTCCCGTATAAAAGCTTCCTATATTAAAGGACCATTCATTAAAAAGGAAGTTTCATTAAAACATTACAGTAAACATTTTAAATAACACTTAAAAATAATTTATAGTTTAAACTAATCTCAAGGTTGAACGTTTAACAACTTACATAAAAGCTTTATACTCGATGAAAGTGCTATACTAAATCAGTTGCGAAAGCGTTTTCCAATAACATTATTCAACCTTCTAGTGTTCTCAGGTACTTCAACTACTCCCTCGTAGTCGGCCCTATAGTCATATTTTCCTTTCGGGAGATTATGCTCGGTCTATAACCTTTTCCTCTTTTACCCCTCCCCTCCCTCCTTAGAATTTTCGAAAGCTGGATCTTCTTTAGCGCGGTGACGTAAGGCATGGAAGCTCGTCCAGGAGACTCAAAATCCTTTTATCCTCATTGGTCATATGTTCTCTTGGGCATTCATGATACCTAGTCGAGTTGTCAGTCCAATAAAAGGGAAACTTAAGTTTCTTGTTCTCATCATAAAAATGAGATCTCCTTTTTTCGGTCACCATGATCATAAGGAAACCATTCTTAAATTTCTTGAATGATTAGGAGTAAGATCCTAAAAAACATGTTCTTGTATGGTTGACTAGAAGAGCCACATAAATTGATGCCAAAGACGGGTATTATAAAAATGCAAGAAACATTTAGGTGTGGGATTTAGTCTTAAGGATTTACAAACAAGTTGAAATGCTTGCAGATATCCTCAACTATTTAGGTGCAGTTAGGTGCATCTCGCATTCAGAATACGTAGTTGGATAAGTAAATGAATTCTCAAACTCGACACTATCAAATATGTATATACTATTTAACCATGACTTAAGCATGGCAGATCACCTAAACTTGGAAGTATACATCTTTACTTTGGGATCCATCCACTCTTATGCTCCCTTCTCTTGCTAGCTCAACTCATCCACTTCATCGTTCAGATCTATCTTTGTCTCTATTGTAACCTCTCGATTCACTACAGAATATCCTAAAGAAGGATCGGCCAAAGACTCACTACTACTCAAATTTAGGTCGTCCCTAGCAAACATATTATAACTATTGGAAGACATACTTGATACTAGTTAGAACTAGAACACTGAGGACTCTTGAAACATATGTCACCAGTAAAGAAGTGAATGCTAGAGCAAATGAGACAAATGTGTATACTATTTATAGACATAACTTCGTGACTCTTTGTCTCCCACCTCTTTAAATTCAATAGTTAGATCTCTTCATATCTAAGGGTCATGGGTCACGACGATTGCATTGCCCATGATCTAACACCGATCAATTAGTCCTATTTGTCGCTACGTTTCTCGAGGTTAGGGGGCTACTATACCTATAAGGTTAGATAACTATAAGAAATAATATTTTCTTTGCACATGATAGTTAGGCAAATGATTGATATCATGGTAATAATACACAAGACTTCAATGTATGACATGTTAAGCTTGGGGGACTAGTGTATTATACAAGTTCGAGCACACCCAAGCCATATAATAAGTATTTTATTTGTCTGAGTATATCTTGGCCACCTGAGCCGACATGTAATCAACCCAAATGTATTCGACCATGAAGGAACCATATCGACTAGACTATTGACATTGATAAAATCATGACTAAGTTAACAACAAAGGGTCAAAACAACATTAATAAGTAATTAGGCCATGTGGCCCAAACCCATGAAGGTAAAGACCCATAAATAATAGTATAAGTAACACATTTTATGGGATACATTAATTACATTAAGTAATTATTATATTTATTGTTATACAACGTTGGCTGACTTAAAGGTTATAGTGTCTTTTACATACACAACTTTTCATTTGGCATGAAAAAAGACAAGTACTAGATATCTTGTCTAAGAGTGCAAAGTTAGAAGTAAAAATACTTGAAATTAAAGCATTTACATAATATATTGAATGTTGTAAGAATAGACACATAAAAGAAGTAAAACAAATTAAATACTTAAATATAAAAAAGTAAATTAATATATATATATATATATATATATATATATTATTTGAAACTACTGAAATTTTTTTATATCGGTGAAGTGAAGATATTTGGTTGTGGGAAGTGGAGAAAGTGACTAGGGGAACTTAATTAAAGAAGGGGGCATGTGGTAGGGCATTGTAAGTAGTACCCTAAGCAATACACCAAATTAATTGCCCAATTCATTGCCACTGTTTGTAGTTTATTGTTTGCATTTAAGTGGCAAAGTATTTAAAATATAAGCAAGTATAATTGTGCTGAAATAACGTACACCGATATCATATACGGATCTGCATGCAGCAGGGACAGTGCTTTTAATTTCCTTAATTGCAATGGTCCTGTGCAAGGGTACAATCCAATTATGAACACTCACTCTCGAACTGGATCTCATTCCTCTATGCAAACTTTTCTTTTATCACATGTTTGTGAGATGCTAGAAGGAAAGAGTATGTATGATTTTAGATGCATTTTCTCCATCATGCATCGCATATGCATCATACATCACATCAGACAAAAATATTGTTTTTTTTTACGTGTTACATATATCATCATATACATAACGAGACATGAACATCTATGATGGAGAATACCAACAAATAACAAGAACGTAATAACAGTAACAACGTGATGGCGGATATTCCCAAATAAATTTGACAGGGGTAAATAACATTTGAAATTAAACGTAGCTAGTATTAATCTCTAATTTTCTCCTTTTATTCTTAATATACATATATATATATATATATATATAATTTTGTCATTCAAAATATATTTTAAAGACGTGTCACTAAGTACCCATTCCTATTAAAATGTTCCTAAACATCAAAGTAACAATAATGTGTAGTGGAAATAAATTTTTTTACAGCTTATAAGAATATGAAAGGAAATTTACATAATATAACATACATTAGGACATAATTAAAAGACACTTATTTTTTTTTCTTACGTGCAATAACCCCTTCAATGTAAAGTTTAAAAGTGTCAAATAAATAAGCGTATTATCTTTATGAAAAATAAAATAGATAATTTATGTATTACTATGAAGATACAAAAGAGTTTCCCATAATACACAAAACCTAATTACAACAATCACCCAAAACAACATCTATATATATTGATGCTTTCAAATCAGAAACATGAAAATGGAAGTCACCTCAAACCATAGTGTCTGAGCCAGATTTTTCCCACTATGGAGGTTTGATTTTGGATCTAACTATTGAAAGGTAATTAAGTTTACCAAATATAAATAGAATTTAAGACTATCTAACCGTGAATGAAGCTCCAGTCCCAAAAAATTATTGTTTTATTTCTTTATCTAGTTTTTATTCAAAATAATTAAATATTTTAATATTTCTAATTTGATCCAATTTTGCAATTTAAAAGAAATGATTACCAATTAAGATAATATATAAAACATTAAATTTTTTTTATAAACATAATTATTTAATTGAGTAAAGTCGTCTAGACTTAGGTCAATAAGTCTTTGATTCAAAGTCAAAATATTTAGTTATGATAAAGTTTGAGCCGACTTAGTTAAGACAAGTCAAGTTGAGTCAGGCTGAGTCTAGTCAAGTCGAGTCATCCCATGTCTCGACTAAGCCAAGTCATTCATGTTTAAGTCGAGTTGAGTATCCAATGTCCAAGTTAAGTCGATTCTTTCAAGTGTAACATAATCTATGTCTTCGATCCCAAATCAAAGTTATCACGAACCAATATTAAGTTGAGTTGATCAATACTTAAATCAGATTGAGTTAGTTCAAACACAAATCAAGTTAGCTCCTACCAAACTTTAGTGAAGTTACTTGATACTTGTAAATTTTGATTTCTTATAGTGATTTTATTTGCAAATTAATATAGATAACACATTAAAAATGACAAATGAAAAGATATTCATGAAATTAAAAATTACTTTTAACATTATAAAAGAATAAAGTTTAAAAATATTCACACAAACAAAATTTAAATTTAAACATATATATTTTATTTTTTAAACTTCGTAGGTATAATACTGATAAAATAATTTATGATAATAAATTATTATATTATTTTACAACGGTAAAATTTTATTTATGATGAAATTTTTATATATAATTACAACGGTAAAATTATATTTATAAAAATGAGTTAGAAAAAAATTATATAAAAAGTATAAAAATAATAATATACATGATAAAAATAAATAATAAAAGAATATAAAAATTGTGTCATATAAATTATTAAAATAATGAATTTATAAGTCTTTTTCTTATATATGATTTAACTTTTCATTTCTACTACTTGTGTGATTTGCACTTGGATTCCAACAATTATGGAATGAAGAAAAACTTATTTAGCTCACAATCACAACAGTATGAATCTCATGCATATTTATGAATTTTCTTATTTATTGTTCTCATTTTTATTTTTATTTGATGTAAATTTATACTCACAGATTTCAAACCATTTCCGATATAATCTTTTGTACAGGTTTGACCAAAAAAATTATGATATAGATAAATCAACATTCGGTAAGACTGCAAAATTTGATGCAATATGGCTCAACAACAGAATTCTTGTTTGAAACAAAGATTATTTCAGTAACAATAAGGGCCTACAATTAATGTTCATACCATTCTTATTTGGTAATTCTATCGCTGCTGCAGTTTATTTTATCGTCTCAACCAATGATTATTATCATAGGCAAAAATAAAACATAGGTTTCCTCCGATTTCAATCAACAGCGCTTTTATTTTTAAAGCACAAATGGCTTTACTATTAAATTAAATTCATGCTCTAATGTTCGATCATGCACTTTTTCTTTCCATTTGAAGAAATCATTCTGTACAAATCACCTTTGCACACCAATGATATATCTTCATCACTCAACTTCATTCCATCTCTGCTCAAATGATGTCGATCAACACTTCTTCCTTTAAACATTACATGAACAAGCAACAATTCAAGGATTATTGGTTAACTTTTCCAAATAATAAGAAGGCTGAAAACTGAATTTGCTTCAAAACATGTACCTTCGTTTTCTCTTATTTTCTGAACCATGTGGAATGCGGAAACCTTCAGAAATTGACATTTGGCGTACTGAAGACATATATTCACTTAATGCAAGACCTTTCACTGACAAGGATGATCTTTCTGGAATGATAGACCGCATCACGTTGGAAAGAGATGTTCTGTTTTCATCATATTTCCACATTAACAAATTTCTTAAGATAATCAGTGCCAGATAGCTGTGGAATTGTTTGCACTAACAATTCAAATTATGAGGGTAAAAAGGTGGTATGTGCATCAGTACTCTAAAATTGAAGTCATGGAATACCTACCTCTTGGTATCATTTGTCGGGTCATTCGTCTCGAATAGCTTATTGGCATAGATACTAGTGCTTTTTGTTTGGTCCTGTCTAGACAATTTTCCCAGTCCCATAACATTAGTAGTGCTAGCCAACATCTCTGAGATTAGATCTACCTCGTTCTTAGAACCAAACTTGGATCCTACATCTGATATATGTTTGGCATAAAAAGAAAAACCATGTACAGCAACTGTAGACATCATCATTTGCTCATCATACCAACTCTTTGTGGCTTCTTCAAAAAGGTTCATCGGAGGCTCCATGATACCCTGCACATTATTGTCATAATTAAGGTGGTGGTACAATATAAATTAAAAAAAAAAACTTTTTAACAAACTTACACATTGTTTTTGTTGGTGATTACGAAACAATAAGTCAGCTTCAGAAATTAGATCGGTCAGCCCACTAGTAAGTTTAAGAACTTGAATAACATTCAGCTGTTCTGGGTTGGCGTGCTGTCCTGAATCTTTTTGACATACACGAAGTTCCCTCCACAATTTTTGTACCATATCCATTGGTACCGATGAACTGGAGTCAAAAGACTTTGAGTTTGATGTAGAATCAGCATGACTGCACTCATCTGTGACATTACTCACAGCTGTGGTTTTCATGTTCCCATCTCTGAAATTTTGCACAGCTGCTTTTGTAAAAGAAGATTCTGGAATTTCAGTATTTGCAAATGGATCAGAATTTGGTTGCAATTTGTCTGAGGATTGACAAACATTGAAAGTGATTGGTGTCAGCTCATTATTGAGAGATACTTGTACTGAATCAGCATGACTGCAAGAAGACACTGGTCCAGTCATTGGCTTTATTCCACTTTGAATTGCTGTCTCAGGAACGGATATTTTTCCAGGGAAACAGGATTCATAAAATGATTTATGCGTTTCATTTAAGCATGCATCATAAGCAGTTTCTCTTTCCAAAACAGAACTAGCCGATTTGCAAAATGATGTACTTGGATAGGTTTCATTCTTTTGAAACTTTAAGAGATATTCAGTGTTGCTTTCAAGGGAATGTCTCTTGTGAACTTCCTCATGAACGTCTAAAGAATGTGCATTATTTGGATGATTCGCAGAGCACATCACTACATGTTTACTTTGGCCCTTTTGCCAAGAGGATGTTACCGGGGATCCAGAACAATTTGAAAATTCAGGAATAGCACTTTGTTGACTTTCAAACCCATTGCAGTCTGTAAGGGATCTCTTGATTCTCTTCCTCTTGTTCCCTACATAATCAGTGTTCGTAAAATTCACATCTAAAACCTGCAAGCACGAGTTTTCATCCATTGTGGCTATTGACTTAGCAACTTCCTTCTCAATGAGTTGGGACAACTCTGAGGGAAAATTCCAGGGTAGTATCTTTGGTATAATCTGGTGACAAGCCTCAACATCAAAAGGAAGCATACCATACACCTTTGGAACTTTCCTGTCTGGACAGTAGACAATAAAAATGTTAGGTTTCTGGAATGGGAATTTACGTTGCATTATTAGCTAATATTAATGACCTATGCATGAGTATTTCATCAAAATACATTGGGAAAAAATATTTCCGTGAAAATGAAGTCACAAAATTAAACATGTATAGAGAAAATAGGAAGTGAAAAGGGATGGGAAGAAACATCTTCATTATTTTTTACTTTAAGACCTTTTTTAAAGGAGCAACCTAGAATGACGCTCCAACCTCAGATATACGTGGAGAGGCTGTTTCTGAGATTTGACTCATGTTATTCTGGCTTAAATTGGACAGGAAGATTAAGGATGACAAAGCTCTTTTTATTGAGTTTTAACAATGTCTTTGTGGAATATAGCTTTCAAGATTGACATTAAGAAAGCTTTTGATACTCTTAATTGGACTTCTTTGTTTTCTGTCTTAAAAGCCTTTTGGTCTTTGGTTTTAGTCAGTCATATCGTGTAAGATGCTTAAATTGTTCGGTTCTGATAAATGGCAAGCTAACTGGTTTTTTCCTTGATCTAGAGAGACGAGGAAAAGGGGTCCTTTATCGCCTCTAATATTCTGCTTGGAAGAGAAGGTGTTGAACAGAAGCATTACAAAGATTGTAGAAAATTGCAACCTTATTTTAATGGCAAGATCTAAATCTTCTAATTTCCCCGCTGATACACTCCTAAATCATGTATTTTTACAGTCCCAGTATGAAAAATCTAACAAATATTAAGTGTTGCAGGATTATGGTTCGATTTCTAATCAGATGATTAACTGTATAAGTCTGAGTTCTACACTAAAAGCAAGTTCCTGAGAAGCAAGATAGATGAACTCTGAACTCATTGTTCTTTTCGAAAAAATCGTGTCCCATTCCAATTTTCAGCTACCCCTTTTCGCCATGCATTCTTTCCTGCAAGTTTTCACTCTTTCCCCTCTTCCGCCGCCGCTACCACCACTGTCCGCAGTCATTTTCGACCAACAACCCCACCACCGACATCGCGCCACCGAACATAACGCCATCGGTCGTGTGCCAAATGTAGTAGTGACATGTCCAACCACTTTTCCGACAGCGACCATCGACGGTAGACTTGCTCTGGCGACCTTTTTCCAGATCTGATTCAAACGTTGTGAATAAAAATCATTTTACACCTCCCATCACTGTTGTGTACATGTGTTCTCTCTCCCCCACTTGACTGCAGGTACTGCTAAATCTGAATGTATTATCTTTACTATGTCAATATCCCTCTCCCCATTGACGAGAATGATTACATTAATTATATGATACTCGGGTATTTGATATCAAGTTTGGTCTTAAGGTCAAAGATTATGTTAATGATCTTACCGCCTTCATTAACAACAAGGTTTGATGTTGTTGGTACAAAGTTGATGTCCAAGTTTGTATCGTTTTCAAGGAGATATTCCGATCCCATGTTATGTTGGAGTTAGGAACATTAACATGTTTATTTGATGTATACCAATGATACTTAGTACCTTCATAGTGTTTGCCAACATCTCTTGAGTATCATAACTCCTTGATATCTTGATGGCTCATGGATGAGTAGTGGGGTAAAGTTTATGGCTTTTCCATTACTTTAATGAACTATTGCCTTCTGAAGCCATTGCTATCTAGGAACTTGCAACGACAAACCTTATTTATATTGATGGCCTTGTATGGGCTTTGTGACTAGTATTCGTCAATCCTTGATCAAATTTTGGGTTCCAATTGTGCCCACTTTGAAGTCTACTCACTGCCAAAACTTCACTTGTCACTCCCATGGTTCCACGACTTTGGTATATTAGCTTGATGATCATACCCACTCTCATAAGTCGAGCAGAGGTCATCCCACCATTGCAAACTTGGTCACAAAATTGACCAGTATTATTCATCGTATGGTCACTCCCCTTGATTTTTGTTTTACTGAGTATGTCGCCTACTTTTGTGGCACCCTATGCTTTACACGACTTCCTCCAATGGTATGGCGAAACTTCACACCATTAAGTCCATTGCTTGTGTCGAACACAATCACTTGCCACACTAATCATATCCATGACAATAACTCGTTTTTCTCTTTCCTTTTCTCTTTCAATTATTTACCCTCAATCACCATGACTAGTGGCTCTTGAGACCCATCTCATGGTGCTGATATTGTCCACATTCTCCCTTTTCTCTCCATTGATATTTTCCTTTATATATTTGGATTTTCTTTTAATTTATTATCCCATAATCATGTCACTTGTTCATTTAATTATGTTATTTATTTTATTAAAGATTGTGTTTTTTTTTGCAAAATCTATGTTTAAAATGAATGATTGGCATCATATGTGAGTCTAATTGATGAGTCCATGACTCCTTATGAGGATGGAAAAATATTTCTAGGAAGATTATGATAGGAACCCAGAATTGAAAAGAGACAAAAAACTAATATTCTTTTTATTGTATAGACTGTATAGAACACAAAATAGGAGAGCACTCTTTCCTCCAAGGGTTTCTCCTTCATAAACAACCAAAGCTCAATCTACAAGATTATCCAAAAGTCCCCTGATACAAGAGCTCCCTGCCTCCTTATAAAGGCCCTTCCAACCAACTGACCAAACTAACAACTAATTCCTAAAATGTTTCCTCTGTCTTGCACTCATTACCCATTATAACCTATCACATTATATCTTATCATTACACCCCATTATAAAACAACCTTGTCTTCAAGGTTGGAACTGTGAAACTTGATCTCATGGGTCATCTTCATCATCATGTTATCATATAAAGGGAACCCACTGGCTACTACCCTCTAATTCAGATTTGGAGACTTGGGTGGTGACAAATCCTCCTCCAATGACTTCCATTCTTCTTGGATTCTTTTAGCCCAATTTTCTGAAATCCTCAGAATCTCATCTCTGACTTCACCGGCTCTTATAGCAACAACACTTTCGACAAGTGCTCCATCTACTTGCAAACTCTCATGTAAAATTTTCACACTCACAATTTGTGTTACTGTTGTCCAACTCTCCTATAGCATGCTTCTCTTATTCCCTTCAACTCTCTTTAGTAAATTTGTCGGCAGATTTTTCCAAGAAAGGTTCTTGGATTTTTGGTGTCAAGTCTTGAACCCCTGGACTAAATTTTCTTTTCTATTTGGGTGTACTTTTGTTGATCCTTTGGTGTTCTGAACTTCAGAAGCATTTGTTGCCCCTATTGTTTGAGCTTGGGTGTCATTCCCTTCATTAATGGTCAACTTTTCTCTTTTCACCCACGAAAAAATTGGTTTTTCCTCACCCTTCCTAGCTCCAATATTGTCAATGGCATCATCTTCTTCCTTTTGCTCCCAATTGATTGAATTGTCTCCTTCACCTGAGTGTTTCTTTGCTTTCTTGATGTCTTGCAAAAGTTCCTCTCTTCTTTCCTATTTTGCTCTATAAACAGACTCAACTGGTTTACTCCCTGACACCACTATTTTAACCCCAGGCCTCAAGAATTCTTCCCCATTCTTCACTATTTTGACATACACACCACAACCTACCATACTATCTCCACTAAAATAACAGTTTTTGCAACTTTCTCAGTAGCAACCACACCAATGTCTCCATCACAGTTTTTGTCATTACCTTCCTCTTCACATATATTTTCTTCTCTCCTATCCTTCCCTCTAATTCCTTCAAAACCATCAACACTCAAAACAGCAGCTTTCGTTTCTCTTTTCTTCTCCCTATTGGTTGAATTTTCTCCTTCATATAAGGGTTTCTTGGCTTTCTTGATGTATAATAGACTATCTTTCATAACATACCTACCCATTTTTCCCTTTTTCTTTCCTTTCATGACAAATTTCTCACTTCTTTCTAAGCCCTTTATGAGAGTCCTGATTTCTTGCCGCATTTCTTTCATATTTCTTCTCATTCTGTCATGCTCATTTTCTATTCGTTGGTCCTCCTCTCCAAGGTATTGTCTCTTCCTTCCATGCTTCCACCCTTTCTTGATCACTTCTTGATCTGCAACCTTTGATCCGGCAGGTCAGACCAATTGATAAGAACCCAGAATTGAAAAGAGACAAAAGAGTAATATTCTTTATTGTATAGACTGTATAGAACACAAAATAGGATAACACTCTCTCCTACAAGGGTTTCCCTTTCACAAAGAGCCAAAGCTCAATCTACAAGATTATCCAAAAGTCCCCTAACACAAGAGCTCCCTGCCTCTTTATAAAGGCCCCCCTAACCAACTAACCAAACTAACAACTAATTCCTAAATTGTTTCCTCTGTCTTGCACCCATTACCCATTATAACCTGTCACATTATATCCTATCAGATGACTACGAGGGAAGTCTCCTATTTACTCACTTCTTTTAGTTTACTTATCATTTTTTTTCCTTATGCTAATTTCCTTACTTGTGTTTTGGTTTATGTTTTGTAAGGTTGCTAGAGACACAACCCTTTTGATAAGGAAACCCTTTGCAAGAGTTGGAGGCACATGGCCTAAACCTTTGGAGTGTTTTTTGTCACACCCTTGTTGGAAGAAGACATCAGAGGAAAAGAGGACTTGGACTAAGGCCCATCACTTGGTGCAGAACTTGGAAAGGAAAGAAGGCTTAGTTGACCTTCTAGATGGTCATAGTCCTGAGGAGTGAGTCTTGAGGGCAAGGGTGTCGCCTAAGTCATCTATGTTGCCCTAACTTATAGAATTATGTTTTGTTTATTTTCTAAAAGGTCCTTACCAAAGTCTATATTAAAAGTCCTCTCCGTCACTTGTAAAGAGTTTGTCATTTTGTGTACTTAACACTTATTGTTCAACCATGTGGGTGCTTCTTCTTAGAGTGAGCTCTCTTCCCTTGTCTTATGAACCTTAGCTCAAGTTATAGCAACCACCACTCATCTTGAGTTTGTTCAACCACGTGGGTGCTTCTTCTTAGAGTGAGCTCTCTTCCCTTGTCTTATGAACCTTAGCTCAAGTTATAGCAACCACCACTCATCTTGAGTTTGTTCAACCACGTGGGTGCTTCTTCTTAGAGTGAACTATTTTCCCTTGTCTTATGAACCTTAGCTCAAGTTATAGCAACCACCACTCATCTT